AACACATGACACTGGCAGATCTCGGGAACTGATCGTCGCTTTGACTCCGTTGGTAGGTACCTGAATAATAAAAACAGGAATGTAACTCTGACGCATTTCAAGTCACTCAAAAGTCTGAGACAGCGGGAGCTTCGGGGTCCCATGGGGTTTTAGCAGCCCGTGACGCCGGACATTTCCCGCTTTGGCACTGTCTTTGGACACTTGATACAGCAATGAGGATGCCAGGACTGGTCGAGACTGATTCCTTGCCATATAAAGAGAAGAACAGAAATAGATGAAACCACAGGTAAGTATTTGTACATGTACTTCACCAGAGTGCGCAAACACTCGAATCACCTCCCCTATCCTTCGTAACAGATTTTGATACGCTAAAATTACATCTGCAGATTCTTGACGCCATGCTGTACAAGAAGCGCGATGGATGATAAACCACAGTTCTTCCGTCCTTGCAAGACACCCCGGCTTCAGATGGTATGGAACAAGTGATATGGGCGCCGTCACGCCCAGACTCCCCGGAAAAGCGAGGTGATCCAGAGCAGGAAGAGGAAAAGCATCACACCATAGGCGCAGCAGGTCACGATCGGAGACTGCTTGTGCGCTATCGTCAGCGCATTTCGGAGCTTCGTCATGGAAGTCTTGCACCAATCCTTGGACCTGGTCGTCCAGGAAGGCAGTTCCTCGTCGTCGTGATGGTACCCCCATCGGCCATCGTAGGCGGGGTATTGGTGGAGAGACAGTCTAAAGGGAGAGCCGGGTCTTGGGTCAGGTCCGTAGACCGGGGAGACATGTGGGACCGCGTCGCCGGTGATGTAGTCGTCTGGGAGTCGAAGATAGACTTGTCTCGGGTAGCGAGGGCTGGCGGGATCAGCCTCTTTGTGGAAAGGACGGGACGACATTGTGCTTGGAGACTTGGACCCCGAGAACAGAGAAAGACTCGGGGGATTGGCCAAGGGAGCGTCTCGGGAAGGGATGAAGAAACGATGTGCGTCTTTTCCGTTGGCTCTTGAGGAGGAAAAAGGATGGAGGTGACGAGGAGGTGGTGAATGCGACAACATTGTTGTTTACCCATGGCTTAGACCGAAAATTCTCGTGTTGATGATCAACCGCGAGGGCGCCACAGACAGTCATCGACGCGGATACGAAGGAAGCCTCTGGTATAGCGCTTTCTACCCATTACCTTGTGAGCGCCATTCAGCCTCCTTCGTAGCCACCGGCTTATGGTGGGCTTCTCCGGAGTATGTTCTCACAGGTCTGGACCCCTTTAGCGACGGAAGCAGTGATCAAAGCCTGATATGATTCAGCACCATATCATTATCACTACAGAGTAGATTGACTCTCCCATGCCTACAGGGCCCTGTAGTATCTGGTGATATATTAGCATAGGGTCGATAAACAATTGAGAATATCTTATCACTGTCTCTAGGTTTCTGTCGCGACCATGGTATGCTGTACTCCGTAGGTAATTGACTGGGAATGAAGGTATCAGGGTGAATGAAGTCCAACGATTATTTCCATCATGGCCTACTACTATCTACAGGCATGTGCGATAGTAAATATTTCTTCAAATGTTTCCCTCCCCTCACGTCCATTTCCAATCGGTCTTACGAATAGCTGACCATCCTGGAAACTGCTGATGCGAGATATTGCACTGTTGACTGGAGCGCTTGGTCTATTCTCAGCACGGTCGGGTGGCAGCGCGAGTGAGTAATATTCCTCGTCTCGGTTCTTTTGACCATAAAGTGGTATGCTGTAGTAATGGGATCTGGGGGAAGATTCTAGGGGGCGTTGGTCCTCTTCTCCCTTGGGACTCGGGAGAGCGCGCAGATGTATTTCGCAGACTTGAAGAACCAGTATAAGGTCTGTATGTCTATACCTTACCCGAACTCGTTCTTTTCCTGCCTTCCAAAGTTGCCGCTTCTATGAGACGGAAAATGGCACAATCTTTGTCCGATGGTAGTACAGCAGCCCGGCCGGACTTTCCGGATGACGCGGCTACGCGGGGGGACGAGGAGGCTCGGCTGGGTGAGGAAGCAATTACATGATGTTACTCCGTGCGTCACCGATGTCGGAAATGGCTCTTTCTCGTCGGCTGTGACGGGTGCTGCCGCCGCACCGTAGGGGGGTCGAAAGGTCCAAAGGCCGAACGGTCGCGGGCCACCGCAGGAAGCTAGAAAGCATAGGATGAGACTTCGACGTACAACTATACACAGCAGATTAGGCGGGTGTTACGTGACGACGGGGAGATGTGTCGTCTCGTCGTTCTCCCCGCATGGCCAGGGAGTATTTCACCCGGCTCAGCAAGCATCATCTCATCAGAGGGGTGTGATGAGGGCTCGAAAGTTGGGACTGTACTTCGATCTGCACGCCGGCTTGCTACATTAGAGTGGTTACATGGCAGCAAACTTGAACGGTCAGCTGAGGTTATTTCTTCGCTCCTCTGATCTGTGACATCGGACTTTGAAGCAGATGCAGGTCTGGCTTCTGGCAAAGACGTTCTAACGTCTCGCGAGATAACATGGAGTTTCGAGCCACCATGGACATAGAATTCCTTGAGGGGGCCAAAACTACCTATACCTATGCCGCCCGATCGTTCCTGTTGTATACGACAAGCTTGCATACCGAGAAAACGAATCATCTCCAATTGCCTTTTTCACTGAATAGAAATGAAAGAAGGGGCGTCCGTAAATCAAAAGATCGAGCCTGCTAGAGGCAAGAATGCTTCAATGATTGGCTGCCATATAGGAGTGCGATTTGCTGAGGGCCCTTTTTCATGTGTCCGACGTCTCCCGGGAGGGTTCTTCTCATGGGCTCGGTGCGTCCGTTAAACAGAACAGTATGAGCCGCGGTGTACCCCAAGCACCTACCTTACAATTCCTGCCCCCTAGAACTACCTGGCTTCTCGGCAAGGTCAAACAAACCGCTGATTCTTTCTGATGATTAGGTCTCTATGACGTGGCATGTATTGAACAGCACCATAATGCGTGACCCTGACGCGCCATCCGCCAGAAGAGGGTTAACAACTGAGTCAAGAAGCTCTCCTGGGTCTAACTATCTCCAGCCAGACTCCGAGAAAATTCGCTGAATAATAGTCCCTAGTCGATGTTTCGGAATCCCTGGCCTGGAGAGATGACCTCTTCGAGTAAATGCGCAAGGTGAGTTTCTCCACAAGCCAACGTCTGGAAAATCTTATAGGCTCGGCCCGCCTGGCGTAGGTGAGTGAGTCTCAAACCCACAACGGGTGACAGTCCCAACCAGGGGAAGAACTTCAAGATGATTATGGGATGTTGTTCATCAGTCAGTCTTTGTGTGGGGTAGCCGTTTTGGTCCTTTCAGCTGATCATTGGTCTAGTCGGGAGCCGTCATTGTCGCGCAACTCGAAGCCTAGGTGAAGATGGTCGGACAAGAACCACCTGTACGGAGTGCGTTGTAACCTTACGAATAGTATCCGTACGAAATAAATCCAACTACCGTACACTAGTTCAAATTGAGAAGGCGGGGTTGGGGGGTGGGGGGGGGAAGCCCTCACCACACCACCAAAAGCGCTAGCTGATAGGTATATAGGTATTTCCCAGAATATATCCATCACCCACACCCCATACCGGGGAAACCGGAGGTGGATTGTTCACCAATCTCATAACTAGACAGGGCAAGGCAACTCGACCTGGTCCATTCTTTCGGAGCTAATGTAAGGCCCGGGCCACATTTGAGACTAAGGTACCTTAGGGCAGGCAGGATTAGGTAGCCCTGTGTCTCTCTAGTCTCAACACCCTACCTAGGTACTAAGGATGTACGTTGTAGGGCAGTTTCAGTCTAGAACAACGTCAAAGCGTACGAGTCGTCGCACTTTGAACTGGTTGAGCAGGTCGTGGAACAGGAAAACACGAACACTCGCCCAGCCTAGGGTCGCCCCGTTGCCAGAATGCCAGGACGAGACGGGAGAGATGGGAGGTTTTAGATGGAAGACGGGAATCGATGGGCTAAGTCGGTTTTGACAGTGGCTCGACGCCTATTGTTGCATGGTCGTTCGAGAACGGATGATCTGCACAAGGGTCTGGGCAAAGAATTCACCTCCCTGTCTGTGCTTTGTCAGAGGCTTCTCCGCCAGCCCCGTGTCAGGATCGTCAGGATGTTAGGACAGTCCACCTGGGAATGTCCGTATTTGTCAGTCTGCATGTCTGGTTGGTTGCACTGCATCACATGTCGTCGGATCGTTGCAATCTACAAAGTGATTTAAACGCCTGTCTCTTTGTACGAGTTCTTCGCTTCTCGCTAAACCCACTCCCCCTTGGAGGGAAAGTCTGAGTGTCATGGCCGACGCTGGGGTGACCAGCACCTCAACTAGGCAATTTATTCGTTTTATGGCATTATTCACGTCGATGGTGGATGTCAGCACATAAATAAGGTACGCAAAAGATGTGTGTGTGCATTGAAGAAGAGTAAAAAGATACTCTACGGAAATATCTAACTATAAAGTAAAAGGAGGGGAAATTAATATGGATACATCGGTCGGAAGTACCCCATCCGTCTACAGAAATAGCGCAAGTCACACCCCGATAAGGTGGCTATAGGCATCTGACACACACCCCCAGAACTGCAGGATTAATCCTGACTGTTCTGCTTAATTAAAGCCGTAAATCTAGGGTAAAATAGAGGCCTAGATATTAATCCAACGATTAAACGGCTTATTAAAAAGCGCGCTCTTTTTATGCCTAAAAACGTCAAAAACGTGTAAAAACAGGTAGTTAAATTAACCCCATAATAACGTCAAAACGTCAAAAACGGGTCCCCAAATAATAATCTAAAGGGCACTAAAACAACGGTTAATCTAGGCTATAGATTTTAAACGCAGCATAGCGCCTCTTATAAATTGCCTTAAGCCCCCTGGCTTAGGACCTCTATCCCTAATAGATATACTAACGCCTTATATTTTTGCTATAGCGGTACTTTAGTTAGCCTACCGCTAACTATCTCGTTCGTAGAGATCTAATTAATCAGGACCTTCTTCTCTATCGTATAAGGAGGGAGGTCGATAATTACGTAAGGGTCTCCCTATAGAAGCAGGCGTTTAAGAGGTTAGCTATAAAGCAGGAATAGTAGTAGTAGTAGTAGTATTTAACTTAGCTACGTGTGGATTAGTGGATTAAGGAGCAGTGGTATCGTTTATAGCCTCGCCTATAGCCTTATTAAAGGTATCGCTAGTATCGTTAATTTACTCCGAGGTACTCCTTATAGCGGTAGGCGTGGGAGGATCGTTAGGCGCCTATAGTAGCGTTAGAGGTATAAAAACAGGCGTTATTTTAAAAGAAGAAGAGGTTATTAAAGAGGGGAAAATTAGTGCCGTTATTAAAAAGGTAAAATTAATTGATATGCCTGTCCGGCATATCCCCTGACCAGCCAGTACTATTGGACCTAGGGCTTCTAGGGTTTGAAAGGGCGACCTTTACTCTAGTATATAAGGGTAGAATACAGATATCTTCTACTAAATAAAGGGGGAACCGCGCCGAGGGTATATCCCTTAGCCGGTCCGGTCTAACTATAACCCGAGTATCTATACTACGCTATTCCCGCATGTAGTCCGGGCGCTATACGTTCCCTATCCGTACGGATAGTGCCGGAGCTATACGTCCTCTATCCGCGCGAATAGCGCCCGCGCTATCCTTACTAGAGGCGTATTATATACCCCGGGTAATAAAAGCCCTGCGTCCCGCGGGCGTTAACCTATACGGAACTAATAGCGCGAGACGTGTAGACTCCTACGCTTTTAGGAAGGCGGCGCCGCCCGGTTATAACTTTAGTAACCGTGGGCGCGGTGGTGCTTACGATAGAAAGGAAAAGGTGGTTATAGTAATATAATATATTACGCTAACTGCGCTGACTATTACTCCGTATAATAAGGTATACGAGGGGAAAGTAAATCGTTAGGTGGCGATAAGGAGCGAAAGGGGAATAGCGAGAAAGAAAGAAAAAAAAGAAAAACGAAACGAGGTAAACGGGAGAAAGCGAAGCGACTAACCGACCGTTTCCCATGGCGCGTTCTTACGCCTATGCCTAAATACTCCTATTAAACTAATACGCCTAAAACCTAGTGCCTAAACTACGCCCTGCTTCTAATCTTTAGCCCTAGATCTCTATAACCTTGGGAGGCTGCGGGTTAGTATCCAGGAAGCCTTAGCGCGATATCTCGCGTCTAAGGATAGTGGTTATATTACCCTCCGTAAGATTAGTCTTTTCTTCTTCGACTATTTACTACGAGATCTCGTAGGAGGCTATAACTCCCTTTTTCCCGTAAGAGTTATAGTAGCGGGCGATAACTGCTATACGCCGGATAATTACCTCGGCTAGGTCGGCGTTATCTATATAGCGTTAGGCTAGATATTCCAGTTTAGTATTCTTTAACGCACCGAGTGCGTTTAGTTTAGCGAGGTGTATTAGTTTACCTATATACTAGAAACTAATAAATAGGCCTAGCTTAGCGGCGTTCTATATATCGTGGTTTACTATATACTTATTAAGGAATATAGTCGCCTAGATAGCGACCGGGAGCAGTAGTATAGCGGCGCGCGAGCGCTATCTAATTTCCCCGAACGTTTATTCGCCGTGCGTGAACTCGTTATAGTGTACGAGCTAGGAGGGGTTATTTAGGCTGGCCGCGAAGCTAATAGCCGCCTAAGTGTATAGGATCTCGTGGCTTAACCGTGTAAATATACGCTTCGCTAAAGGTAACGACGTATAGCCCTAGTAAGGGCGCTTAGTGCCCGTGATAGGCGATAGTGCGCTAGCGACGGGTAGTACCGGAGCACCTAATCTTAATCTGGTAAGGATGGCCGCGGCGCTTTATATAACTAGCGCTAGGATATTCTATAGCGATTAGAGGAAATCTTAGATAGCCGCTACGCGAGGCTTAATACTAGAGGGGTAATCTCCCGTGTAATCGAGGAAGTCTACACTACTGATTTCGTTATTTTATAGACGTTTTACTAAGTTCGCTAGCTTTAGGCTTAGCGACGCTAGTTCGTGGACTAATTATAGGACGCGAGCTAGTATAATAGTGTCGTGTAGCTATAAGGGGGGTATACTAGTAGTCGGAGTCTAGGCGACCGGCGCGGTGCTACTACGTAGTAGCGGCGAACCCGAGGGGGTAATTATAGTTCCTAGGCGGCGGCGGGATAGGGGGTTAAGGAGGAATTAGCTATTAGAGGCCTTAAGGGCATTATAACGAGCTATAACGAGGTATTACTCGAATATCTAGGAGTATTAGGGCTAGTTAGTAACGTCGATATTATTATCTAGCAGAAACTACGGCTAGGGGTATAGGGTAATAAGCTACTACGCGAGGTTAACTAAGACTACGCGTTCCGCCTCCTTTACTAGAGCGAATATCGTGCGGCGGAGTTAACGGTTAAGGGGGTTATTATACCCGTCGTTAAGGGCTTATTAGCGGTAGGACGCGACTATTAACTTATTATTACGGCGCTACTAATTAAATACTACGCTAATAGTCTATAGACCTATAATAATACCGTTTTCGTCTCTAAATAGCGTAATAGCTTTAAAGTATCCGTCGAAGGTAAGCCTAGCCCCGGTCTTCCCCTTAGAGAAGTACTTAGAGAACTCCTGTATAAACTCTTAGTCCTTCGACCGATAGATATCTATTAGGTACTCGACTACGTAGTAATTTAGGAGACTTACTATAAACGGAGGGAGAATATTACGAGCGCCTAATAAACTAAGAGAAAAAAGGGTATATATAAGATACCACGAGATAATAACTAGAGAACCACTAGTTATTTACCTTATAAGCTATAATAGTGGTTATATACGAAGACTAGTAACTATGATATTTACGAAGATAGCTATAAAGAGTAGGAGAAGATTAGTAAGCGTGGCCGGGCGTTTAGGGAATTTTTTATAGCCGGGTAGGAGGGCGGGCTAATCTAGTAGAACGACGCGGTTTATACTACTTTTATTATTATTCCGCGTTATTTTCCTTTTATATACCTGCCGTTCGGAGATCGGACGACCCTTATACCTTCCCTCGCCCGAGTTCGAGGTCGTTCGCTATACGTGAATAGCGCGTAGTTACCTCGGGTAACTTACTTTCCTTATTCGGCGCCTAATAAGGCTACGGGGCTATATTAGAGCCCCTTAAAGGTTCTTTACTCTGAGTATTCTTTAACCTATCTATTTCTTTAACGTCCCCCAGCTTAAGGGTTTTATCTGGCGTTATTCCTTTTATTATAGCTCGTAGTATCTCTAAGACCCTTTATCCTGCCTTAAAGGCTTCGACTATTTCTAGTACGTCTATCGCTTCCTTTAGTATCTATATATTCTAATAACTTAGCTAGCCTTTCCACCGAATTAGGTACTTAGTATAAGGCTTACCTT